CACCAAAACAAAAAGCCCACCAAGTTCTTTCTGTTTCAGAAGGAAAAAATGAAATTCATGACAAGTTGAATTTCAAATGCAGTTGTTCTAACTGTACTCTCGGGATCTGTTCTAAACTCGGATTCTGGGGTCTCTCCTCAGTTCTGCTGAGTTCTGGGTGTAGGGTCCAGCCATCAGCATTGTTATGAGGCTCCATAAAAAAAATAGCAGGCAGGCAAGTAAGGCTACTCTGCAGCCCTCACTTATCAGGAGGCTCTTGTTTGTGTCTGTTTCATTTTTGTGTCCATTTTATGTGTGCACGTATGTGTGCACGTGTGTATGTGGGCATGTGGAGGTCAGAGGACAACTCAGGGGAGTTGCTTCTCTCCTTCCACCATGTGGATCCTAGGCACTGAATTGGGCTCATCAAGCTTGGAGGCCAGTTCCCTTATCTGTCGAGCCAGGTTGCTGGCTCTAATTGGGTATTTTAAATTTGAGTTCATGCCCATTGCGCTCAGGTGGGATATCATCACAGTTGTAAACTATGTGGCACGTTCCTTCAACAATGGAGCGAGCACTCTTTCTTTGGTCAAGGGTGGCCTGGCTTACAGCATTCCTTGTGACATAGTTGGAGATGAGTCTTTGTTTAATATAAAAATATACACATCCATAAAGCAACCATGTTAACAATTTAACCATTATTGCTTGCAAAGCCTTTCAGATCTCATGGGAAATAGTTAACTATGACCCTTAGGAAATTATCGTTGCCTGAAGGAAGTAAGCCTTAAAAAACGAAGTCTTCATTAAGGCTGGAACTTTTTTGCAGAACTGGGCAGGTCTCTTTAGAGACCACAGAATGCTTTTCCTTTTTCAGAAAGCTCAAAAAGGCCCATTACCTCTAGCATACCTACAGTAAGACTTCCTGATCTACTCAAATAGAGTTGGCAACTATCCTTCACTATTTAAGACTAGAAAAAGTTAAACCTTTTGAAAATCCTAGTGTGACAGCAAACTAGAACCCAGGAGACACACTGCTAACATATTCACACACTTTTCTAAGTTACTTCATCTCAGCCCCAGTCGATGGCTTGGTTAAAATACAAAACAAATTTGGATTTTTTTGAATATACATATGTATACACATACATGACTAAGAAGCCAGACCAAACCAACACCCGCACTAGCCAGCCATTTTACAGCAGAAAACAGCAGCATCTCCTAACATGTGGATACATCATGTTTTCTCCCCACTTTCGGAAACCCCGATTCCAAGGTTAACAGGACTACTACAAAAAAATAACAGGACTATTCCAAGGTTAACAGGACTACTACTTCTTTAGCATCAGAAAACCAAAAGCCACAGAATCAGCTCAGAACAAGCCCAGCAGCTGAACAGTGAAAGGAAAGGGCTGCACGTGCTTCTCAAAGGAGTTCTCCTCTAACAGTTATGGGAGAATTGGATACAGGGCAGACTCCAGACAGCACAGGCCTCCATCTGGGGCCTGTGTTCTCATTTGTGTAGACCTCTAGTTCTAAGGAGACAGAGAAGGCAAGAACAATAGCCTTTTCCCCACAAGGGCATCACAGTGTTCCACTTGGATTCCCTTTGCCTTTTACTTTTGTGTATACTGTCACAAAAGACCCTCACCAATGACTCTGCAGGACCCCAAGGACAGACATCTACAGATGAAGATATAATAAGCCTGGGACTACACATCTGCTCAAGAATCAGGCACTTTATCATCAGCCTAGCCTTCCCATTTGGTGGCTAGTTAAGTTTCCAGGGTAATATTTCCTCAGGTTACAGACAAGAAGGGGCCACAGTGATGTCTTAGAGCATAGCTGAGCATAAGCAACATATGCCTATAACTGAAACATTTCAGAAGGTGAAGGCAAAGGATTAAAAGTTCAAAGCCAACCTGTATTATATAAGTTTGAGGCTAGTTAGGGCCACATTCTAAGACCCTATCTCAAAACAAACAATAAATAATCACATAAACAAAATAAAGTAATAGATAAAAAGAAGCTGTGTTCTGATACTGCCAGGCCAGCACTCCGGCCTCATCTCAGCTATCTACAGCTAGCTGTCTGGGTTCCTTACCTCCTCTGTAAACTAGGAGTGGAGTTACAGTTACGAATAAGACATGGACATAAACCATTCAAGTTCTTTCATCCAGCAAATACTTGTGTAAAGCACAGTGTAAGTTACAGCAGCACTCGAGAGCTAGTCCTGGTCTCACAGAGCTGAAAACTTAGTCAAACTACAAGAAGAAAAATAAGTAAGCAGACAAATGCTTATAAAATGTGCTAAAAAAAATTAGGATTACCATAAATGATTGAAAACAATCACAGGAAGGGTCAGAAGTTAAGAGTGCCCACTGAAGAGAAATTTCTGTTGAGCCCTAAGAGATCCAAAGGAGCTAACTATGTGAAGAAAAGAAGAACTCGCATTTCTGTCAGGAGGATCTCAATACGCAAGGGTCACAGCATGAGAAAGGCAGAGGAACACGGAAGACAAGTGCAACTGCAGAATATCCTCTCCTAGGGTTGGAGAACGACCATTACAAGCTGCCACCACAGAGGATTACCACATCTATTTTTAAAATAACAAAGATGAGCTTGGAGGAAAGTGCTGTGTCTTGTCCAAGGTCAAAGTTACTCAGCAGAGGACCAAAAACTGGAAGCTCTCAGTATTCTACTTCCGAACACAGCATAAGCCCACAGCTTTGACTTACCTCTCTAATGACAGCTTTCTTTGGGGAGTCACCAAAGCACCTTGAAAACCCAAGTAATAACACCGTATCAGTTTCCAGGCGCCTGGTCAATCAAACACCAAAAGCCCTACCTTTGGAGTCTTACAGGAGAGCAAAAGCTGCTCAGATCTGACTCCAAGGCTCCACAGTGGAAACAGCTTCTCTCCTTGCAGCCATGGACAAGAAAAAAGGATGCCCCAGAAAATTCCACGGCCTGTTCTAAGAGGCAGAACACTGATACAAATGAATGCTCACCTCAGGTGAACACCACAGGGATCTCGGTCAGACTGGTACACCCACCACAGTAAAAGCTATTTGGGAATTCAGAGAGGCAGTATGAGGTGAACTGCAGGATGCCAGGAGCATTCACTAGGCTCAAAGTCTTGCAAAAAGGACCAGATGGTCCTATATACTAAAAATAAGTAAATATATACAAGTATTACCTATGTCAACAAGAGCCTGCCATACACACTTCAGAGATGCCGAAAGGATCAACTCTTCTTGTGCTCCCATTGCTCAGTTGTGTTCCCTACTCCCATGACTAGATGGGAGTAAAGTGGGGGGGGGGGAGAAGAACACTGGAGGGGGGGGGGGGAGAACTCTAGAGTGAGGGAGCGGGGAGAATGCTAGGGCTTCATATCTGAAGAGTGTGAAATTTTGGAACTCAGTTCCTAACTCTATCAGGGAACCTGACAATAGAACAAGGATAAAGAAGTTTCTATTATAAGACAGACTTAGGAAATCTTACCAAAAAGACAACTCCTCTTCTCACTCCCCCATACAAGCTTTTATAAAGTCAGTTGTTTGCTACACTCAAAATTGTTTTAAAAGCATACCAGTGACAGTTCACTGACAAACGTAATCACAGCAGTCTCACAAACACAGCTGAACCTTCTGGACTCAACTATTTAGGCAAGATTATTAATTCCAACGTGCCTAACACAGACCAAATGCCTAAAGGGTACATGTCTCGTATCTGATTTCCAACAGTTTAAAGTCAGAGAGGCTCTAAACCAGTCACTATAACCCACCAAAGTTACTTCAAAAATTTAAGATTGTGGAATTGACCAAAAAAAGAAGATACAACAAAACAAACAAAACAAAACAAAAAAAACTACCTTGTTTTTTAAATTAGCTACAACAACAATCTCACAGGTAAACCTTCCATAATGTACCCTAAGAACAGGAGAAAGCGTTCTCCTACACAGTAACTAAAATTTCCCAACTCAGGCAAAGGAGTCTGAATATTTAACTGCTTCACTCCAGCTGGTAATTAGCAAACAGCAACCCCACACCCCTTTTGACCAATTTTCTAGAGGCCTGCCCTGGCTTCTCAGGACAGCCAAGCAGACAGACCTGTTTTCCCCAGAAGTCTCTGCCAGGCCTTTTTTGCCTTACCAGCCAGGGCCTGGGAAATCCCCCTCCAGCCTTTTCCTGGCCTATCACCAGAAGTGCACAGAATGAGTTCATCTAGATCCTTTCAATCTTCCTCTTCCCCAGTCATGTGCCAACTGCTGGGCAATAATAATACCCCATCTCTCCTGTGCTCTATGAAACGGAAAAAAAAAAAAAAGATGCAGAATCATGGGAAGAGCCAAGCACTTAGCGTGGAGCAGGAGAAAAAAAGATGGAGGGATGTGAGAGTCCCTGAGCCAAATTTACTGCATGCAGCACGAGAGACCAAAATCCTGGTCCTGGAAACCCAAAGAGGGAGGCTTCACATATACCAGACCACACCTGTCTAAGCCAGCCTCCTGTTCCATATTAAACAACTGATACAGCAAACCAGTCTGGTGGGAAAACTAACCACCTCCCTTTCCTAGCAAGGGTAAGAACCCTAACCCAAGAAATCACTTGCCCCTAGTTTTCTTTCTTTCTCACTCTTTGTTTAGGAGACACTACCTCCCGTAACCAGAAAGGTAGGCACCATGCTGCAGTGGCAGAAATGAAGTCTTAGACAAGAAGACCTTTGAAGGATCATGATGCTAATAAATGCGACCTCAATTGGGCTGGTTTCACTCAGTCATCCACAAGTGAACACAAGCCCGCAGTCCTAAAACACCCGGCTCCACAAGCCTGGTAGGCAGCTTTTCCCCTAGGCAGTAGTTATCCTATTTGATCCGATTCATCCTCTGACATGGAGGGAACCAGGGGAAGGGTAGGAGTTAGCTTCATACCCATACCTTAGCACACTAAGAGGTTTCGGGCGCCCCGGCGCGCCCTCCCTTGCACTCCACCCTTCAAGGCCTCCGTCACCCGCGGACTCACCACTGTGCGAGCTGAACCACCTGGGTGCGATGTGCAGAGGTAGAGCATCCGCCAGCGAGGCTCGGGAGCCCAGGTACAGCATCCCGTCTCTATGGTGACCGCCGCCGGTATCTTGGTAACCATTGCCGTGGGCATAGGTGGAGTCCGACGTGGACCCTCCGCCACCCGGCGCCCTCTCTGAGTCGCCGGTTCCGCGGGAGGCGGGGGTGTAGAGGCTAAAGGGCACCCCTCCGGCCGTGCTGGGGTCCATGCCCATGCCCGCCACCGAGCTGACCGAGCGGCTGCGCAGCCCCATCGCCCCGCCGCCCGTCCGGTAGTGCCCAAAGTGGGGCGCTCCTCCTGGCGGCGGCACGGCGCTGTCATCGGTAGAGACCCCCGGGAAGGGGCCCCGAGAGCGGGCCGCCGTGCTCTGCTTGCCCCCCATGTTCGCCGGGGCCCCGGTGGGGCGGGAACGTGGAGGCCGAGACCCTCCCCCACTACTCAGAAGCGGGTGGAGGGCTGGGCGAACATAAAGGCGGGGGGCTGGAGGGGAGGAAGAGTCACAAAAGAGCCCCGAGGGGAGAAAATGAAAAAAGGAGGGGGGAAAAATCCTCAAAAAGAAAAAATCCGCCGGGTGGAAAAAGCAAGCGAGCGGGAGCCCCCAAACTAAGAATCTTAAACTGTCCAAGCCGAATGCATGTTCCTCTTAAGGTCCGAAGACGCTCGGTCCGGAGCGGGCGCCTCGCGCCACAGGCCGCCCCCGGGCTCGGGATCTTGAGGAGCCGCAGCGAAGGGAGGGAGGCGCCGGAGGAGGCCGCTCGCCCGCCCGCAGCAGGAAGCGGCGGAGGCTCCGGGCGCCGCGCGCGTCCCCCGTCTCAGGACTCGACGACCGGCACCGGCGGGCCGCACTCCTCCAGGTTTCGGGAAGGCTCGCGGCGGTGGGGCAGCCAGGCGGAGCTCTGGAAGCCGCGGTCGCGTGGCGTCGCGCTCCGGCTCCAGCCGCCGCCGGCCCGGCCAGCCAGCCGCGCCGCCCCGCTCGGTCCCGGGCTGCGCTCGCCGGCGCTCCTCGCCGCCGTGGAGACAATGGAGGGCGGCAGAGCGCACGCGCGGCCCGCACCCCCTCCCCCCCCGCCGGGTTAACTCTTTCGCGGCCCCTGCGGCGCGGCGGCTCCCTGCGGCCTCGGAGGTCCCCACCCACCCACCGCCTGCGCCTCGGGCGGTCCGAGGACAGGCCGGCTCCAGCCGCGGGGCGTCTGCGACGGAGGTCAGACTTCCTCTGGAACCGAGCACTGCTTGAGTCGCGGCGAAAGTCGAATCATTATATTTAAAAAGAAACCCTGCTTGGGGGGAGGGTCAACGACGGTTTTAGCGGGTAGAAAAGAAACACCAAGAAGAAAGAAAACCAACTAATAAGCTTACCTGGGTTTGAGGGTCACTGGGCGAGCTCCCCTCCTGCCACAGACCTGCCCTCACAGCACCCTCTGGTGGATTTGCTGTCCATTGGAGGTTCTCCATCCAAGGACCCCAGCCAACATTAGGAAGTTTAGCATGGAGTTGGGGGGTTTGGGGGGTTGTTAGCTTGGACCCAAACTTCAGGAGTCTTAACATTTGGGGTTAGCTGTTAGGAGATACAACAGTGCTCTAGGGGCCCATAGCCTTTGCTGTCATTAGATCAGAACCAACTATTTGGGTCTAAATCGATTCCTTAGGCTAGAATACAATCCTCAAAATCAATAGGTAGATAAAAACCAGTGAAATAAAACCATGCAGCTAAGAAGTGGTTTTAGAAACTCCTTCCCCAAGGCCATTTGCTGTTTTATTTACCATGTATTTTGACATAGAGCCCCAAGGCAAGGACACAGTACTCAATAAATATTTGTTGACCAAATTGCGTTTTGCAACAGAGAATCACCTTTCCAGGTCAGTCCCGGTCTTTCTCATATATTCGCTTCTCTTATTCATTGAGCAAATAATTTTTCAAGTGCTCAGCGCTGAGCACAGTGAGCGTCACCCAGTCACTAGCCTGATTTCCTCTTGTCACTCTGTCAGGTGTGCCAGGTGCTTCCAAAAATGGAGAGAGATTTAAAAAAAAAAAAAGGCTAATAGACCTGTCTCTTCCAGTGTGACTAGCCTGGAAGGCCACAGGAAGATGGCTATTTGCAAGCATAGAGTGCTTGGGGGGGGGGGCGGTGAGCAAAAAGCTCCGAACAAAGAAGTTGAGAATTTTGTAAGAAAAACTAATATGCAAAGAATATCATGGCTGTGGTGCGTACTTTAATCGCATCGCTTGAGAGGTAGAGGCAGGTAGATCTCTGAATTCCATGCCAGCCTGGTCTACAAAGCAAGTTCCAATACAGCTAGGGCCACACAGAGAAACCCTGTTTGGAAAAATCAAATGTGCGTGCATGTGTATATCTAGAGGCTGGAGAGTTGGCTCAGGGGTTAAGAGCACTTGTTCTTGCAGAGGCCCCAGGTTCATTCCAAGTACCTATGTGGTGATTCACAATTATCCATAATCCCAGATGCATGATACACATACATGCATACAGGCAAGGCATTCATCTATAAAAAAAAATAGTATATCTAAATTTTTATTAAAAAAAAATAAATAGGGCTGGTGAGATGGCTCAGTAGTTAAGAGAACTGACCACTCTTCTGGAGGTCATGAGTTCAAATCCCAGCAACCACATGGTGGCTCACAACCACCCTCAATGAGATCTGATGCCCTCATATGGGTGTCTGAAGACAGCGACAGGGTACTTACATATAATAAATAAATAAATATCTTTAAAAATAAATAAATAAATAAATATAGCCAGGCGGTGGTGGCACACGCCTTTAATCCCAGCACTTGGGAGGCAGAGACAGGTGGATTTCTGAGTTCGAGGCCAGCCTGGTCTACAGAGTGAGTTCCAGGACAGCCAGAACTACACAGAGAAACCCTGTCTTGAAAAACCAAATAAATAAATAAATAAATAAATAAATAATAAAAAAAATAAAACTGAACTGAATGATCTGAAGAAATTAGAGAAACTTCCAGAGGCTGGAGGGATGGCTCAGCAAAAAGTACACTGCTCTTGCAGAGGACCTGAGTCTGATTTGTAACTCCAGTTCCAAGGAATCTGATGACCTCTTTTGGCTTCCACTGGCACCCACACATAGGTACTACTCACTCACGTAGACACATACACATACAATGAAAACAAATCTATAAAAAGGAAACTTGATCTATTTTTTTTCCCAAAGGAAAGACTATGGTATCAGAAAGGGGGTGGTTCAGTACAGAAAAAAAAAGCTAGATTCTTGACAGGTTAAATACCTGTCAAGATTCTTGACTTTTGAAGTTAAATACATTATAACCATCTTAGCAAAGTGCTTTTTAATCTTATTCACTACACATATATGTGTGTGCATGTGTGCCCATGTACCTGTGTGTGTGTGTGTGTGTGTGTGTGTATGTGCTGTGTGTATACATATATAGTTATCCCCCAACTCAGGTGCTGGAGATTGGAGCTGGGGCTTCATACATGCTGGGCATGCACACTAGTAATGAGCTATAACCCATTTGCTAATAAAAATATTTAATACCTGAGACGTTCCAGTCGCTCTCCTAGATTCTAGAATACAATGAACAAGACAGAGTTCCCTTTCTCATAAACTTCAGAACAACCATTTTGTACCCACTTGAATGACTGTAATCAGAGAAAGACGGTAACAGCTATGGAGAATCGGAGAGATTGGACCCTCAAAGCTTCCTGCTGGCAATGATAAATGGTTGATTGCTTTGGAAAAGAGCCTGGCAGATCCTCAAGAAGATTAAACAAGCTGAGTATGATGGGCACATACCTTTTGTTTTAGTGCTAGGGAGACAGAGGCAGGAGGCTGGCTGTGCTTAAGGCCAGCCTGGTCTACTTAGTTCCAGTCCAGCCAGGGCTATACAGTGTGATTCTGTCTCCCAAGGCAGCGGGGAAGCCCATCAGATACAATATACAATATGATCCAACCAGTTCAGTCTTAGGGGTGTGTGTGTGTGTGTGTGTGTGTGTGTGTGTGTGTGTAAAATGTGCGTGTATGTATGTGTATATGTATATATGTATTGGGTTTTGGTTTTTCAAGATAAACCTTCTCTGTATAGTCCTGGCTGTCTTGGAATTCACTCTGTAGACCAGGCTGGCCTCAAACTCAGAGATCCACCTGCCTCTGCTTTCCCGAGTGCTGGGATTAAAGGTATGTGCCACTATACCTGGCTTTTAGGTATGTTTCTAAGCAAATAAAACACATGTTCACAAAATAACTCATACAGGAATGTGCACAGCCTCATTACTTGGAGTGGGGGTGTATACATGTTTCTGTGGGGAGGGATACATAAGCATGTGGAAACTAAAAGATATAGGTGGGGTGTCTTACACAGTCACTTCTCTGCCTTGTTTTTTGAGGTAGGTTCTTCACTGAGCCTGAACTTCCTGATTGGCTAGACTCACTAGTCAGCAAACCCAAGGAACCTGCCTAATCCCACCTCCCCAGCACTGGATACTACTATATGACAAGTGCTTTACTGACAAAGCTATCTCTCCAGCCCTGCTTTTTATTTATTTATTTTTTGAGACCAGATCAAAAAATAAACATAGCCCAGGTTAGCCCTTTATTCCCTAGGTTGACAAGGATGCCCTCATGTGTCTTTCTCTCAGGGGCTAGGAGAACAGGCCTGTACCACCACTCCAGGCTGCAGCTTTATTTGAGATAACCAAAAAATTGAAACAATCCAAAGATTCATCAATAGACTAAAGCAATAATAGTATGTATGCAATGAGCTGGGTGGTATAGTGCACACTGTTAATCCCAGCACTCGTGAGGCAGAGGCAGGTGGATCTCTATGAGCTTGAGGCCAACCTGGTCTACAGAAGGAGTTTCAGGCCGGGTGGTGGTGGCACACGCCTTTAATCCCAGCACTTGGGAGGCAGAGGCAGGTGGATTTCTGAGTTCGAGAGTTCGAGGCCAGCCTGATCTACAGAGTGAGTTCCAGGACAGCCAGGCCTACACAGAGAAACCCTGTCTTGAAAAACTAAACCAAAAAAAAAAAAAAAAAAAAAAAAAAGAATTTCAGGACAGCCAGGGCTAGACAACAAAACCCTGTCTAACTCATATATATATTTGATGAACTAATATTTAGTCATAAAGAGGAATAAACTGCTGATAGATTATCATGAATAAGCCTTGAAAACACCATGGTAGATAGAAAAAGTCATTAATTTAATAACCGCATAATTGTATAGTCATATGAGTCTAGTTACATGAAAAGTTCAGAGTGGACTAATCCCATTAAGCTAGATTAGGGTCGCTTGAACCTGAAAGGAAAGATGAAGAGTGACTACTAATGGGTTTCTTTTTAAAGCGATGGAAATATTCTACCATCAAGTTGCATATGCTCGTGAATATATTAAAAGCAACCATCGAGTCACACATCTGCGGAGATCAGCTTTAGGTTACATCAAGTTTACGGTAATACTCTAGGTCTGGACTGGGGCTCTGGATCAGTGGTAGAGTGCTTGCCTGGCTTGCATGCATATGCTAGGCTTTGGGTCGATCTCAAGAACTCCAGAAGGGGATTCCAGCAGAAAGAGATGAAACAAGGATGCCCTTGAACTTCTGACCTTCCTGCCACTGCTTCTCAAGTGCTGGGATGACAGGCTGCGATAGCGCAATAGAGATAAATCTAGAACAGTATTTGCCATGCGCTGTCAGAAACATTTGCTATATGAATGAGTGTCATGGGAGAGAAAACACAGTGCCCATTAAAACATTGGTACC